ACCAAACTTGGCAAACATACACTTTGGGGTGGGGCAGGTGTCGTAGGCTTCTACCAGACTGCAACACCATTAGTGAGAAGAAATGTTTCCTAGGTGATGTTCAATCAAGAATGCGTCCGTGCATTCCCACATGCGCCGTCTGCCTGGTCGCTCCTCAGTGTTGCTATGACTGATAAAATGTTCGATGCTGGGAAACCACATAAAAAGGTTTTTCGTATTTATTCATTTGTTATAAATACGGGCTTTTTGGAAAAATCAAAATTTACCGGACACAATTTTTAACTCTGCGTTTTCCAGTCACCTGCCATTCGACGACCTCCTCCTTTGGGACGACCACCTCCAATGGCGATTTCCGGTTCGGAATGGAAGTCAGCGGAATGGAAGGGAGCGTGGAAGCCAGTGCACTATGAGATAGCCTTTCCGTTACTACTCTTCAAAGACGATAGCGATGATGACTATGAAGAATTTTTTACTGCACGAGAAAACTTTGAACAGGACATTCTCTCTAGACGGGAGGAACCTCGGCGTCACGGTCGAAGCAAATCGAGGACACGCACCGTTTCCACAGGTGCTCAAGTTGTCGTCAAGGAACCGCGCTCGAAATCAGCCGTTCGTGACAAGTCCAAGTGTATCTGGCGCTCAAAATCTGCAGGCCTTTTAGAAACGCCGAGAACTACTATTGTTTAACTTCCTTCATTTAATCACTGCTTATGGGTTCATTTTTCTCACGTGTGAATACAAACATTTTTGCATATTGTTACGGTACAATACATAAGCCAAAGACTAATTTGCTTTTTCGTACCATCCTTTCTGCTTGACTCTTCATATCATTCAATGCTCGAAAAAAGCGGCAACTAATCGGAATCAGTCTACACCAACATGATATTTCCATTCGTTAAAAAATAAGAGCATAAAAAATTGTATAATTTCACACACACTGCATTTGAGGTTGAAAGTGAAGCGGTACTACGTTATTTCTCATAAGGGCCCGGCATACATCACGCGATTTCATCGCATTTCGATTCTCCCGATGAGACAACTGTTACAACGCATCATTGCCTGCCGATCATTTTGCCATTCAGTTGTGATAGTTACTTGGCGCGACTAATCGCTGACAGTCTTCTCCCTGGCATACTTTCCTCGGTGTAATTGTCGCGATTTGCCTCAATCTCAGCGATATCGCGTCGCTGACTTCAAACGACGCAATCAAATCGCTAAGGTTGGACTTCTCTTCTGAAAGTTCTATGATCGTTTTTTAGGTTTTTGGGCTATTTTCTTGTTTATAATCTCAAAAAACAGCCCAATTTTGCCAGAGGGTCCTTGGCGCACTGGAAGTGATTATCATGATGATTACTCAGAATAGCGCATTTTCCTGCAGTTCGTATCAAACACAACAACAATTAGCTTTTTTCTCGGGCCAGTTTAGAACAAAAAAATCTCGTAAAGGCTTTACATGCTGAATGAACACTACATGTGACGCACGTCAAATAATCCGTTGCGCAAAGTTTCGGGCAAGTCTACGGCTTTGACACCTACCATATACTCAGCGCAATTCCGCGAGAAAGTCCAGTTCCAAAACGCGATATGAGTATGATTTTTGTAATCGGCATGTTGAATAGCCCCTCTAGACCGAATTCCAGCCAAATCTATGCCTCCTTGAGTGTACCTACTGTGGCCTCAAACAATGCCGTTCTATCACCCATAATGAATATGATATTTGGCATTAGTGGGTCGAATAACCCCTTTGAACCGAGTTTGAGCAAAATCGCGGCGTTGAAACAGGGCCCAGATATTGGGATAGCGCTGGATATAACAAAAGTACTTACTAGTTGAGAAATATTATGTGCTCTGGTGTGAGGATGCAGGAATCGCCGCAGAAGTATGCCCATGAACGAGTAACTAGCGAAATCGTGGTCGCCACGATTTCGTCGCTACTTGCAGCAAATCGCGGCGATTGAAATCGCGACGATAAATTTAAAGGCAGTGGACGGGCAGAATGGACCCCTCTCGGAATTCGGTGGAGTTAGGTGGTAGACCCCCCAAGGACACCGTAGCCCAAGCCCCACTTGCCAATTCATGCGCTAA